TRTTCTATGCTCTTCCTTTCGCGGGAAATGTATAATTTCATCCAAACGACTTCCGTTTAACAATTCCAAAATAAAAAGCTATTGAACATTTGGCTATCCTCTAATGTTTTTATGTTACAAAAGACGCGGCGCGCTATAACTTTTTTAAGGCCCGTTTACACTTGCGATTTTTGCAGTGCRATTATCGCGYGACAATCGCCACTTCGTTCTCGCGCACCTCACTCGTACGTGTAAACAGCCCTGCGATTGTCGCGGCGATCAAAAATCGCCACGAGTTGCAGCTAAATTTCAAGCATGTTCGAATGTTTAGTGAAACTCAGGCGATTGTCGCGCGACAATTGCGCTTCAAAAATCGCAAGTGTAAACGGGCCTTTACAGATCTAATAAGCGAGACAATTGCATGCTTCGCAAGCAAATAAACAAAACAATATATATGTACAGGTCAATAAAATTTATTATCCACCTCCAAAACAAGTTCTTTCACTTAGCAAATCTAGATATCATTTTTATTTCATTCTAATCGAAGATTCTTTTCTTTGATTGGATAATGGATCTTTATCCCCCACGTGACAGYTGCTCTATTCRATCACGWTGGTCAGCAGTAYTCTCGGACTTCCTCTACTAWACATCCTTCGTGGCAACATTCTTCTACAATGTGGTAAGACCTTCTAGACCGTGTTGTGTGGAAGGATTTCGCGGCTTTGCTTTCTTTTATGATACTTTTTTCTGTGAAATATAAAGCACAACAATGATAATAAGTGCCCCCGGTGGAAAAGGTCCTTAGGGAAGGTTTTGGGGAAGGGAGTGGCTTTGAACGGGAGGGGGGGGAGGAAATTCCCTTGAAAACGGATTTGCGGATCTCTTAACATCAATAGCAATTAATAAAAGCATTGCTGCATTAAAATAACATTTAGCAATTTGATGTCTAAATATTACTGAAAGGTGTGCAAGATAGACACCACTAGACACGCCCTTCTAAACATAGCGCCCCCATGATTTGATATAGAGCTGTGCATCACTTAGCGCGATTGATTATTCGCGTTACCTGACGATTCACCTGAAGAATTCCCTTTGGTTTGTCGAAAGCTAGACCGCCGTGTGATTATACCACTGCACACTCCCAATACAGCTGTGAAGATATCGTCACCGCAGACATGCCAGTCTATCCGACGCGATGTGTCTTCAGTGGTTTTCCAACAACGGCCGGCGTTGTTACACGTTCCTTCGACAATTGAAGCTAGTGCTAATAGATCTAATAGAAGCAGCAACGAGAACACTCCTTGCTTCATTGTCATCTRTGGAAAGACAAAATAATCGATGATGGTAATGATCAGAAACCGCGTACTATTAATTGCGTCCCATCTACTAAAAAAACCCTTTATCCCACCAGAAAAAAAAAACAAACAAACAACAAAAAAAAAAACGCTGTAAACGCGAAATTTCATTTGTCTTGAAAATGATGTGTATAAAATATTATTTAACTTAATAGTATCGAAAATGTTTTCAAAAAAGTGCTCAACTTTGTCAAGGAGCATTTCATAATGATAATAAAATAAAATATGAAATAAAATATTATTTACTATTATAGTAATTCCACCAAGCTATGCGTATCACAAATGCAGTATTTCCGATTGGTTACTAAGCTGTTGTCTATTTAAGATATATTTTTGCAGCATATTGAATGAGAACAAGGATCGAAAAAATGTCAAGAAAAATTGTTTATCGTATATTTTGATTGTGTATATTTTATAAATTAGCTTCGTTTGATACTAAACAATTAGACAAGTCCTTGTGGGTACCGCCTCGATCAAGGACTGTAACTCTTTTACTCCACTCCAACTCGCGGCCTAATTGTAAACGCACCATTTTACTGAGTATTGTCTGGGTCATCGACTTCATCATTTAATCAGTCTAGCTAAAAATCCTATCTTWGCCATTATCTAGCCATTAATTTCAACATTTTTTCAAACAAGAAACRTTGAAGTCAAATGTTGCAATTTGATCGATAGCTTGCTCATCAAGATAGTTTATCAATGCATTAACCGAGCTGAATTTCCGCTATTTTAAAAAGTGTTTGCACACTTTCGAGTGGCTAAAGTACAAATCACTTGAAAGATTTCAAAACGATTTACCGTTTGTAAATAAAAGAGGAAAAATTAAGAAAAAAGTTAAGTGAATGACTCAGCAATCAGCTAAAAGATTTTTGGATGTGTGTATCTTATTGTGAGAGTTTGTATCGCCTACAACGTGGAATTAATGTTGCTTACAGAAAGCATTTTATCATTATCTATGAAATGTCTATATTCCTCCATTCTTATAAAGTTTTTTTTCACTAGTAAAAATAACACTTCCGAGGTTTATATATATAGTGGAAGTAAGAAAAAAAGTATTATACGACATAATTTTCTATCATATTTAATTATATGATAAACAGAATATTACATGGTCGCTTGGAGATACGAATTTTATCTTCTCGTGCTGAAAGTCTCTCACTCGTTCGCTACGCTCGTGAGACATCTTCTCAACATGCACTCGACGCGAAGATAAAATCCGTATCTCCGCGCGCCCGTGTTATATCCTCTATATTTATCAAAGTAAACTAAACGTGATATAAGTCYATTTCAGTTGGATTCTTTTTATCAATTCTTTTTTCTGAGAATCTTCCGCTAAGTGCAGGTAGAAGTGTTTCATGTGAAAACACTGAGTTTGCGTGCCACAAAGTGCAAAAGTGCACGAAAAAGCTATCACCCTGAAAAATTTCATTTGAGATCATACGTATTCAACTTGAAAAATTGGTTTCCTTTTTTTCCAATTAACTAGTTTGCAAAGAGATAAAAAAAAACAATTGAATTGAATTGCGTGCATCTTTGCCAAAGAACAGATGCACGACCAGAAAAAACTCCTTGAAAATTTGTCGATATATCGCATAGAAAATTAAATTGATTTTAGAAAGCTTTCCCTTGATTCATATATTTAGAAAATAGTTTCACGATACTTCGCTTTAATCCCTTTTCGATACGTGTCATTTCAAAATATTGAATTTGTAGCTAGTTCCCTTTTTAATACAATTTTCAATCGACAACTTAGCACAAGAGCTATCATTTACGAGAACACTCTAACCAAGAGCCACTTTAAGTTAAGTTTTCCCTAAATTATCTTTCAAGACTAAAATGCGGATTAARCTTATATGATTTGGCTTCAGCAATTCCTTTTAAGTTGGCGCACAGAAAAAAACGCGCGTCAGGGTTTAAAAGTARTGAAAAGTTTTAGAGTACAACAATGAAAAATGAAATAGCTCAATGCTGGTTGAACGTCCTTGTATATAAGAGACTGATTTTACCTTTCCACAGCCCGCGTCTGCTGTGAGTAGAGTAGCTTGTTGCCGTTTTTTGCCCACTGYGAAAGCTTCACCTGCTAGTGGTGACTTTATATCAAACACAATCGAAATTTGATAACGTTTAAAGCGAGAACCGCTACACTTCAAGTTGCGTGTTTTGAGATGACGTAARGGCGTAGTGATRAATTTTTTGAAATTGAGTACGAAATTGAGTAAATAAAGCCTAAAAGATTTTAATCTTTTTGGAGTTCATAAATAACATTAATGTGACTAACTGTTGGTCGCTCTGCTGTAATGTGAAAATCAAAACTTTAATGGAGTTATCAGTGTTMAGTTTCAAAAAMGTGAAATCGAGTWACTTTATTAAACCTGTGAAACAAAATGTGCTATTTTATAGTTGTTTTGTTAAAGAAGTGTGTTTTCGTAGGGTTTAAATTCTGTGTTTCGTCATATATAAAGGAGTTCAAAGTGTGACTACTGGGTCGATTATAATAGCATTCAATACAGATTGAAGAAAATTGTGAACCATATATATGCGAATAAAAAACAACACCTTACTAGATGCGATTTTCAATTACGGCGAATTTAAACGCGATTTTGCGGTCATTTTGATCCTAGAGAATAGTATTAAAGAATTAACTTTAAAGTTTTATTCTGRACACAGAAATGAGCTATTATAATCGTTTATTCACAAGGATAAGGCAAAATTTGTTATCTTGTTGAAAATCGCCCGATAAAATCGCAACAAAAATCGCAACAAAAAATCTCCAGTCTTTTTGTCGAAATCAAATATACCGGGAATTAAGCTCGTAACCGTGAAACCAAAGCACTGATATTCCATGAGACAAAAGTCCAAACAAACCCACACACTCGAAATTCAAGCAAGATAAATCAAGAAATTAAAATATAGATCGTGTTCCTTTAGGTAAGACTCGAATATCTCTAAAGATCTCGAAAACGTGATTTGTGATACGATTTTTGATTTTTCGGCTTTGACACTAAATCACGTACCGGYTCTCTTTCGCAAACATTGTAACTTAGTAGACTTTAGATAAAAATCTTTTTTTTATAGTTTGCTAGTTTAGTATAGTTTTGATATTGATTGATTCTTATCTCGCGGTCTGGAGACCTTGAGTTCATTTCTTTCTTTTGGCACAATTGATCGTTTTCAATCCTTCCCATAGCCAAGAGATTCTTAAGATAAAAGACCGGCGGCCATGTTGGAGGAATGGACAATAGATACTAATGAGAAATCCTTTAAGATGGCCGCTGTGACGTATAGTGAAAACGAAGAATTATTCTATTTCAATAGAAGGAGGTGCCTGAAAAGTGCAACCACTTTTGGTCGATAAAAGACGTATGTCCGATTTGTTCAAGTTTCCGAGTACAAGGGTAGATCTCCCCTTTTAGGGTTAAAAATACTAGAAATAGAAATTATTATACAAATAAAAAATAATAATAAACGTGAATGGGACTTACTCTGAAAAACAGGAAACTGAAAGTGACATTTCATTTTCCTCAGATCTACTCATAACATTTCCTTAAATTACATTTGATTGTCATCCTTGTGCCATCCTGGGAACCAGAGGTTTGACGTTTTCCTTTCTCAAAAGTTTATTTTGAGGTCATAAAGATGAAATGCATGCTTCATAGATAGCAAATCTCACTTCAATGATAGGTTTCACATCCAGGCTCTAAATGTTGCAGCTGATCAGTTGGCACAAGTTTTTTTCTGAACCTTTTATATCACTATTTGATTTTCAATGCATTGTGGGATCAGTTTCTAAAATATGCCATGTTCTGTCCAAAACATATCCCAGAATGCATTGTGTATAAAAGCTTCAGAGGTCTATTAGCGAGAGATGATTGGCCAATCATGAGAAATGGTAAATTCTGCCATCTTGTACTTAACCCCTGGATCACTGCAACATTATAAGCTAAAAAAATAGATCCAGGAGTAATCCACTTTCAAATTCTCCAATGCTTTGTGTTGGCCTCATTTGTGTGCAAAATGAAATATTCCTAATACGCTTTYCAGTTGCACTTAGGCCTCGATAGCAAGTTAATTATTCTTTGAATTTGACAAATGAGACYATTCATATCAATGTTTGCATTGCTCACATTTCTACAAATTCAAAAGAATATTTAACAYGCTGTCGAGACCTAAGAGCAACTGAAAAGGTGTATTGTGAGAATGTGAAGTGCAAAATTTCAAATCAATTCATTGTCTTTCTTTTCAAATTCCATTTTTTTTTTTCCTCTGGCTATCAATAAAACAAAAGAATAATACRTGTACGTTGCTTGGTTTTGAGGCTAACACAGAGCAAACCAGAACTCCAAATTGGAGTATCTTAAAAGGGTGACACACTGAGTGTGTCTTTCTATTGTTTTGTCTTTATTTAGCTTTTTTTTTTCTTGTTAACTGCTATATTTAAGTCAGAGCAAAGTCAACTTCATTACTTCTGCTTACACTGTAGTGATGCCAAGCGTTAGSGAGCCAAATCTTTTGACAATAGCTGGACCCATGACAATAGCCAGAAGAATTTAGATATTTTGGTTTAGTGACCAATGCACAACAGGATTCAAGACAAGGCTCCCAGGAAAAAATAAGAATACATTCATATTCTCCTTTCTTTCCCCAGAGCCTCTTCTGCAAGTCCACTGTACATAGTTACTCAATCAAAATATCAAATGTTGACTATCATAACTGTGTAGCAATCATGACATAATATATGAATGGGAGTTTGTTGAAAAGCTGTTCACTTTAAGCTTTAAATAGATTTTCTTGTATGTTCATCTAGAATAGTTTGCAGTCTCTCCATCCGTTCACTAAGTTTTGGATGAAATGTCTTGCGTTCATTYCCATRCTCATCGTAGTGTGCCAAGCCATTCGAACCATGCAAAGCCCGCAAAACTTTATTCAATTGCAACCTCTTCTTCATSACGTCAACTCCYCCCCTTGCTGCTTGTAAATCRACTTTAGCTGATGCCTCATCAGCCGCAAACTCCTCTTTATGGTGAACCTCTGTGTTGACATACTTATACCCCAAGTAGCTGATTCTCAGTAGACAAAGTTTGAGGATTACATCTAAAAGAAGTGGGATTTTAGAGAATTTAGAAGTTAAAGTCACAGCTTTGTAAGTCACATAAAGCCAAGTAGAGGGCAGAACTGCATACAGCAATTTATACTCTGGAAGTTGAAGGTGAGCAATCTCATGACCAATAGTAAATGCAATATTATCTTGAGTAGGAGTGAGTGCTTCTTTCATCTGTGTTCCCATCTCCGAGTGCCATTTGATTGACCTCCCTTTGAAATTGATGGGCGATTTCATCACATCYTCAKCATTGTCRAACAAATACCAGCCCGGTATTCCCACTACAGCACCGTTAGGAAACGATGTTGAGCCAGCACTGAATCCACTAAATCCTTTATTAACAAACATAGAAACTTTCTCGCTGTTTTCAAGACCCATTTCGTGAGCTCTTTTTACAAATTCTGAACGACATTTTTYTGGAACATCTTCTTCAGAATTTCCCAGTACATTTTGACAAATAGTTACAGGAAAGGCGTGCGGAATGGTCTTRTAGATGAACAATCCACCAATKCCAATTCCAACTGATAATCGTAGGAATCGTACTCCTATTCGRCCWGCAAGATCCAAAGCCATCACGTTGACACACGTGCAATGGACCAAGATGGCGTCTTGTTAGATTAATGGGGTCCCTGTGGTATACGTCACACAGGTAACCCAAACATATCAATCACAACAAACTGAAATTCGTGCCCCAAAAATTGCGCAAAGAGTGTTAGAGCGGATTTCGTATGAGTGGGAAACGGACGGTACTGTACTGTGTCCGTAATCATACTGTCACCAAATTCTAGTGCCCCATTGTTTCACCAAAATTCTTCAGGCCAGGTCCGGTAACTGTGGGGTAACCGTGCGGTAACGGTGTCCCACTCATACGAAACCCGCTCTATTTAATGTACCTCAGTAGAGTACAAACAATAAATGTGTGCAACACTTTCCACTATTTACTACAAAATAGTATTAATTAAACAATAGAAAACAATAGAATTAGCATAATTTAGCAGTATTTAGTGGTATTTATGTTGCACAGTTTTAGTTTTTGTACTTCTAAACTTACTTGAATTTTAGTTCTGACAAGCTTCAAAACTTTGAAGTTGGTACACAAGACATAGGAGGGATTTAAATCGCTTAATTTTCATTTTCAAATCCCGAGCTAGGGTGTACTCCTTTATAAAAAGGCAGGAGTCCTCATTCAAATGAAATGCAACCAAACACAAGAGAAAAAGTAACTTCAATTTTTATTTCAAATACACTCACGGCAAAATTTATATATTAACTAATTTTGACTCACCGGSGTTTGGTGGGAAAATTGAAATCTGAACCGTTTAACCCTGCACCAGAAAAATGATAGAACACCAAGCACCACATAAAATGTTGGTTGACCTAAATCTTGCTGTTATGTCACCTTGTTTGAAAGTGCAATGATTTTAGCTGTTTGGTCACTTGTATGAATTGATTGCATGATGATCCAACAGCAGAGATTGCTCAACAATGTTTGGTGGTTTTGGTTAAAGATTTTTCAAATGTACAGGGCTTGAACAATGTATGTTACATTTCAGTCGCGCAACATTAGAATTCTTTGATTTACTAGGATGCATTTTTATGAAACTATACTCAAGCTTTGATGACAAGAGGATTATGATCCTATTGTCTGAAATGTAGGACAAACAAAACCTAGGACAATGAGTCCATTAGATCCATCAAAAATAGTTTATTTACTTTGGTTTGGATATATTTTTCCCATTTTCTCTGCCRCGATYTCCTCAAGCAACCTCAACCTTTTCGTCAACTTGGGATGGGTGTAATTCTTGAGAAAWTCACCATCTTTYGAGAACATTTTCTTCCCATCACTACCGTACAGAACTCTCAACACAGAATTCAGTTTTAGTCTTTTAAGAGTAATATCAACTCCCCCCAAGGCCATATTGACATCCAGTTCAGCAGAGCGTCTGTCGGCAGAGTACTCTTGYTGAAACTTTATCCTTATTGCTGTCAAATTGTACATCACATAACTCACAAAACAAAATGAGAMTTTAACTGCAAAAGAAGCCAAGTTTGATCTACTTGCTAAGAACTTTGCATTTCCAAAGGTAGCCTTGTAAGTACAATAAAACCAAACTGGAGCTAAAGTCCCACCAAACATTTCATTCCTTTGTATGTGACTTAATTCATGCCCAATAAGAAAGGCAATATTATCATCTGTTGCAAAAAGYGACTTTGCAAGTTGTTGACCAAGTTTAGTGTTCCAATTTACTGCTCTGTTTCTGAATGTAAGCCCAGAAGCCATGATATCCTCCTCTTTTTCAAAAAGGAAATACTTTGGAAGCCCAATGACTGCACCCCCCGGAAGCCAAACTGCACCAGCAGATATAGGACTTAAACCATCACAGATGAATAACTTGATGTTTTCAAAGTCACCTTCTGTACCAAGCTTTCTTAGAACTTTTTTCAACTGGATTTGACARCGGTYAGGAACAGGAAYACYTTGGGATGGCTGTTCAGCACTTTTTTGTTTCGATTCTGCATTTCTACAAAGCAAGTCAGGAAATAAGTGTRCTGCTGATTTATGGGCGAATAAACCGCCAGTTACAAGTCCAACGGCAACTTTCACGAGTTTTTGAGTCACAGTAGCCATTTTGGAGACAGATCAAGTCAGGCGTTCCTTGGATGCTAGAGTAAGAATGAGCTCTAGAGCCGARACCTCTTTTCTACATAGCAAGCTATTTACACAGGTAATCCAAAACTAGCAACTGGTAGAATGTACTAGCTCTGCAAGTATTTCAGTTCTTTCAAGGGTCTTTCAAGCTTGTTAGGCATAGATTGCCTGTTTGGTAGAGAGGGTACGTATAACAATTATTACAGAATGGACATATTCGAGGCGCACGGACAGAACACAATATAATTATATTGACTCATGCAAGAACACTTTGAAGAGTTTTGTTTGTGGATTCATGGGTGACCGAGTCACATTTCTTAACGGATATATCAACATATTTTTAGATTTTTGACGATAGATTAATCGCACTGTGCAACTGTACAAACTAAATAGTGTTGTATTTAGTAAATCGTGCTCGCGGCACGCAAATTAAATTGAATTGAAAAATGAAAGATGAAGCATTCAATATCGTCTTGCTTCAAGGCCACTTCAAGTACAAATTAGTACTACTTATACCCCATTCACACCAACTAAACCATACAGTTGCACGGTTTAAGCGAGATCATTCATTTTACCAAATTTTGACCATTTGATCAACTTTCTTTTACTTTGAGCTATAGTCTTGTCAAAAAATATTTAAATATCTTGAGGACACAATGAATATTTGCTTTTACTGGTGTTTTAAATACAAGTTTTACAGCAATATTTTGCTAACTCATTTTACATCGTCTTTTTAATGTTCAATTCACAATTACAAAGACACACACCGAGGTTGTATTCCAAGTTAGCGGTGTACTGTGGATTTAAGCAAAAGCGCACTCCACTTAAGATAAGCGCAAATAGAACGTTGCGCAAAACAAGGAGATACGTTGCAAAAGGTATTCACTTCACACTACTCGTACGTACGTAATGTTATGATTATACGTAGTGTTAGTAATTATTGATTAACGCACGCGTAACATGAAGTGATTGCTCTTGTGGACGTATCGCCTCGAGACCACAYAACGCAAACGCCGCATTCTAAACTCAATGCTAGAGCATGTGCTGCAAGGACAATCAGTTTCCATAACCTATACGTAGTGTTACGTTATTAGTACTGGTTACGGATTAACGCACACGTTACGGAAACTGTTTCCTTACGTACATGTTCCAAGCAAGCAGCATTATCGTAAGAGATACGTTGCGCAAGAACTCTTCAATTCACGTTACGTTATGTACGTTATGTTAATGGTTAGCACTTGCAACGTGAACTGAAGTTCATCCTTACGTATACGTCACTCTTAYGAGAAAAAAGACGCGGGAAAACAAACACTAATGCCGCGCGCACCTTTTATTGCATGCAAGAATCCACAGTACGGAAAATGCTATATACACTTTGTAAAATGACTATCGAGTAGTGCACTTTTTGATTTTTGATGACATAAGATKTGATTTTTACAGAAAAAAAAACAAGAACTTCGATATTTAATTTGTCTAATTCAATTCAGCGAGTTATCACTTGGGAGGCAATGCTGGCAGGCAAKKCTTCGGATCCAATTCTTCTTCCAAATCTGACTTGCAGGGTTTTCGGCACATAGTTCAGACTCTGATCTGATCGTCGACTTTGAACTTTTTGAGCTGAAAAAGCAAGAAAACAAAAATGGATATTAAATAGAATTTTCAAATCTAAATACATCTTGTAGTGAGTATGTTTGTCCCGTGATATCTTCAGAGTCTTGATTTGCCCTGTTATAGTATTCCACTGGAAAAAATCGCGCGCTTTAAAGGTTGTAAATTTTAAGTGTCCAAAATTCTGTAAATTTAAGAATGGAAATCATTTACATCAAATTTACAGAATTTTGGACACTTGCATCATATTTACATCAAATCTACAACCTTTAAAGCGCGCGATTTTTTCCAGTGTTCTTACAGTCTGTTGATCCGAACTTTTACTTTACTTTGAGCAGCTGAAAAAGAGCAAAAATATAAAAGAAACTAAGTTAATTACTATATTCAATCTGGTGAGTTCAAATTTATTCTGGTAACATCTTTTTACGATCATATTTATCTACGACGGAAACCTCAAAAGCATAAACTGTACTCAGGTGATTTGTTCCATGGAAAAGGCAAGCAATTTCATCGTTCACATGACTTCATTTGCAGGACTCGGTGGTCTAACTTCGACTTGAATTAAAAATTAGCAAAAACTAATGTCCTTGTATTTTATTTATCATAATATGAATAACAAAATGATAGTCAACTTATCCTGATGAAAGAAAGCGACTTCAAGGACCTAAAGGATGCAGAGAWGGTTAGTASATCCCTGAAAMGAAAGCGCAAAATACTTCTTGGGTACTCGTCAAACGGCATTTGTATTTTGCTAATACACAAGAACTATTTTGACGTCTTTTAGTATGAATAATATTGAATATTATTATTAAGAGAAAATCATAAAAAAAATCTTTGAGGTTGAAATATAGCAGAGTTTTGAAAAAGCTTGTGGATTCCCGCAAAACAAATAAAACAAGAAATATAGCAAAGCTCCACACTTATTATATGACAATCGTTGAAAACACCTGAAACAGAAAAGAATTAAAGTTAGAAAGCTCTAATATTCCCAATTCACACTACATATTCTGGAAGTGCTCAAATCTAAAACCATTGCATGCTGGTRGAAAAACAGGGAACCCGGTATCTGAAATTATTGAAAAGGGCGATAAACCGTACAAATTTATATTATCATTCTCGGACCCAGAGTCGAGAAGAAATCAGCTCAACTGTCTCTGGGTAAAAGAATGTGAAACATTGTAAAGAGCAGCTCCACAACAGTGCAGTGTAAACGGGCTTAGAATTATTTCATAATTATCGGATGTAGCGCGCACATAGAGAAAGCAAGCGTACAAGAGGGATCAGTGGGAAAAATGAAATACAAGAAAATCCCTGAAATGGCACGGAATACAGAAAAACATTACATCAACCAACAGTACTAAATATAACTGAGCGGTGAATTAATTAAAAATGTTAAACTTYCATGGATCTTACAATCGGTTCAAGACGCACTCGAAGATCAGCCCCAAAAAGTCGGATTTTCGAAAAAAAAACAGTAACATGTCTAGGTTTCACACGCATTCACACACTTTGCCGGAAGTACGTAGACACCCATACGTATTATTGAACAAACTATATAGTATATAGGTAACACTACGTATCATTTACGTATCATTTACGTAGCATGCGGATGTACAGGAGGACCATTTCACACACTTTGCCGGAGATACGTACACACCCACACGTCTTATTGAACAAACTATATAGTATACATACGTATCACTACGTATCATTTACGTAGCTAGCATACGGATCTACAGGAAGACTATGGTTCATACGCATTCACTCACACTTCTACGTGATATTTATGCTCACTCTCCATATATATTATCTATTTATCACCTAAGATATCTACATGCCTAAGTGGTTGTACCAAAAAGGGAAAACTGAGAACCTAGGTAAAATATTTCTCGCGAAAGAAAAACCGCGGAAACACATGCCTAACCTATGTGAGGTGGGAATTGAAAAAATGTGAAGTGAAAAAATATGAGCATTTTGAAAAAGGTTATCATCAAAGAGAAAACGAAATAGAAAAGACCTACAACTTGTCGCATCTGAAAAACCCAAATTGTCTGATCGAGATCAGTGTCATTATACTGTGAGTGAAAAGGATGTTGGAATCGGGAATGAGAGGGATCCATGATCCTTCTTGGTCAACAGAAGTCAAGCGCAAACACTCGTCTTTTGTTGGCAACTCATAATAACATCAAACAACATAATAAATACAATGGCCGTCAAATTGTCTCTAATAAACTAAAGCTACCACGTGAAATACTATACTTGGACGCGGCTTGAAGCTCGTCGTTTCAACCCAGTTTGGTTGTTCTTGGAAGATCTGCATGCTGGGAGAAACGTTTAAATGCCATGGTAGTCACATTAGGACATACTCATGGCATTTACCAGGGGTTTCGTTAGTACAATGCAACTATCTACTAACAACTAACAAGCTAAGGCCGTGAAAAGATGACATTTGCTAAATTTGGCCGAATGTTAAAGTAAGCTATTCCAGAGAAAGGTCACTCGCAAACCRCGCAAGTACTGAGATTAATCAAACGAAAAAGAGGGTGGAAGACGGGCTGGAAGATGACAAAAATATCAATACGGACAAGCATAATCACAAAAACTCACTGAAAAGTGAAAGAGAGGGGGTCTGCAAATCAGACACCTCAGTACCATTGCACACCTGCGTTATTGTTGGTGCGAACTGGTCAGCACTTAACCTAAAGACCTAAGACCGACGAAATCTAATCCTAAAGCGCATGCTGAACCAGCCCACGTAAAAAAGTGACCTAAATCTGGATCTAAGGACACAGAAATCAGACAACAAATGGAATTCAATGATATTGTCGTTTTGTTTGAAAGTCCAATGCCCAAAGTCCAATGTCTCCATGTTCCTCCAGTGTCTTCAATAGCTCTTCACTTGCGGTCTCCGAAAATGAGCACACCCTAGATTATTCAAAGTGGTAGCTTGTCTAATTTATAAACATCCCTAGGCCCGTGCTTAAAAGCACGGAGACCCTCCTATCCTGTCCTATGAATTTGGATAATGAACCCTTTTACTTGTGACTACAAAGACGAAATGCATGGAAGGCATAAAATCAACAATAAGTAGAATTCGCTTCATCACAAACAAAAAAGAGTTCATTGTTTCTATTCTAAGKCGGGATGTGCTCCTATTTGAATAAGGAGCTTAAAATACAGTAACAAAGACAACAAACACCTCGAGGATTTCAAAGCAAGCAATTAAAATCCGTACTAAAATTTCAAAATTTCATCCTCGACGTGTGTTGAAACCATTATTTTAAAACCTGCAACTCGACGACTTCATCTGTCCTTTTACCCTAGAGATAAATGTAAAGTTTGCATACTTTGATGGACATTAACTTTCAAAGCATTGAATGACATGGAATCAGTACTATGTACAATTATAAAATATGCACACAAATTTGAACTTATATTTTCCATTTAATACTCGGCTAAAACGTCCGTCAAAATGTACAAAAAATGTTTAAGAATATTCAAATGTTACTTCTCTTTCAGTTAATTCATTCAGAAGTTTTTGAAAACTTAAAAAAATATAGCATAAAACATCAACAATGACCAACAATTGTTTGCATTCATAATAACTTCATATAACTTCAAACTGAGTCTTACAACTTTTCGATTCAATGGCAACATTTTTTAACGTAGAAATTTAAAATAATGCAAATGAACATGGAATCCGAGAGCTCGAAGCAGCAGTTACGAGTTCGGACGAGCATGGAAATACAAGGGCATTTTCAAATTAAATTTCCAGCAAGGCTTACAATAATTCTTTTTCTTTAGACAGCTTAAATTCAAAAAAGTCTGATGAATCTCGATAATTCAGTGCGAAAGAAGTGACATTACAGCTGGAAAATTTGGAAGTTTAAGCGGTGCATAACATTTTCGAGCGAAATAAATTGCAATTTCTTTCTTTCCGAAGATAAATTTGAAAGCTCGCGCTTCCTTTCAATATTTCAGAAGAAATTTTAGAATGAATTACAAAAATATTTTAGATAATRTTACAAAATAAGGCAACATAACCTACCACTTTGAAGAAGGAGACTTGAATGAAGCAACACATGTAAAATACCGTGTTTGCATGCTTGCATTCAAATGGTTGACCGTCAATCAAAGCAGTTATCAGCCAATCAATGACAGTATAATGAAGGAGGAGTTTTACAGTGTGATTTGATTGGCTGAGGGTTAATTAGAGGGTAGAGAAAGGTAGAAAATGCTCACGTTGGAATGTAAGGTTCAACATCGATTTGGAGTCGATTTGGAGGAGGAGGATAGGGCAAAAACTGTGGGGTTTTTTTTGGTCGTTGAAAGAAAAAATAAAAATAAAACATATTTAAGGCTGATTTACACGGCACGATTGTCTCGTGCGACTTGTAGTATACGACTTGAATCGCGCAGTGTAAATGCCCCTACGACTTGTCTACAACAGTCGTACGCAACCTACGACTTGTAGTAGGGTTTTGAACCACTGCTTAAAATCCTACGACTTGTAGTAGGAAAATCGTATACTACAAGTCGCGCACGACAAATCGTACCRTGTAAATCAGCCTTTAGAAAGAAAAGGACATTTTCTCTGCAAAAACACACAAAGACATGTTCACAGATGTATAATATTTTATTTCATTTATAGTGCACACGTAGAGCAAATGAACAAATATGAATTCAATCAGAGACTCATAAAATGAAGTATCCTTCACAGTCTATCCTTTTGTCGGGCTTCCTGTCYTTTGGAGGGACAGGAAGCCYGAGAAAAGGATAGACTGTATTCCATCATTTCCATGCTCCGCAAAATGTTTMTCACCGATTATAAAATCTGACATCTTTACGTTTTCAAAATACTTGAAACTAAACGACGGCCACATTATATGTATTAAATATGATATATGGAAAATTTGAATATTTTTGATTTGTAGTTCCATRGGTTATTTTTGAATCGGATTTTGACTGCCAAATATGGTATCAAAATTATGCTAATTAATTTGAATATTTTGGAGTATATATCGAGCCGTGCTACACGTTTCTGAATTCCTTAATGAGTTTCTGATTAAATTTAAGAATYCAAGCGAACTACTCAGTTTCTGTGGCGATTTAGATAGACTGACGGCATTTGCCATCAGTGAAGTATACGTCATCGATTGCGATGTCGCCTTGGTAACCATCACCTCTCACACCAGTGAATAGTATCTTTAAAACATAAAAATATCAAGTCGTTAAAACTAGATAATCAGTAGCCTCATTCCCAGGAAACTCTACTCCGTGGGGTTCCTGTGTTTTAAAAGGCAAACAAATGTGCCGGAGGGGGAGGGGGTTGGGAAGTAAGGTAAATTTTATTCGTTGTTCCCAATCTTTCGACACCAGTTCTTCTCGTTCAAGACTATGAACACAGGAAGACCAAGAAGAGAAAAAAGTCCGTTTCCGTTGGAGTAGCCTGCGAAGATAATAAGTTTTCCTTTTCTCTATAACGTCTTTRCACTCGATCGCTAAAGACTCCTAAAGCGTCGTTATTTGAAAAGCAAGACAAACATACTTGAATACTAAAAATACATATAGAAAAGAAGGGAAATAGCTCTGGAACCCGTACTACCCGTGTATGTCTCGGTACGACATTAATAAGAATGCTTACCCTATATTTAGAATCTATCTCTGGCAGCTGGATATCAGCCCTATGCCAAGCATTTCCTTGATTACCACACCTTTTCCATGTTACCAGAACTTGTGGTACGTCGTTTGTCCCATCCTCAATCTCCATAACGTCTACAGTGAGGTTACCAATGTGTTTGCCTAACATGTGGTAGAAGAAATGGAAGCAGCGTTCATCGGAGGGAGAGTACACTTTGCTGCTCAAGACAGCGCGTTCGCCCTTAACTCGTGGAGATGAAGTTTCGATGTACATAAACCAACCTGGAGACCACAAAAGCACAATATATCATTTATTGTCATTATATCATATCATCAAATTACCTATAACAAATCAATTACTTTTCTGTTCGGTTAATACGCCCACTTTTCGATGTCCATSCAGTGGCCGGAATAACGAGGATTCACTGTATAGCTAAGCGTATGKCCTATCAAATAATTACTATGATCCTACCCCAGCGGCCGGTAGAGTGATCTGCAGGGGGTCCTGTATTGCCACTTGGTGTTTTTCCAATCCTCTGCGTCCAGTCGAAGTCATCTGCGCCATCATTAGTAAATCCACAGGTTCCACAGCTGTCTCCTGCCGTCTTATCGAAATTGCACGTATCCTCTGCTCCTGTTGGCATTGAGCACATTTTCTTTGACTTCGTTCACAATTTTTTTCCAGTGTACGTCGAACAATATACGAGTAAGATGCGAATACTATATTTTGTCTACAGCGATACCTTTCGGTTTCAACCCTACTTCATATCGTTTAATCCCGGGGGAACTCCGGGGTAAAAGTACTGGGGATGCTCGTCGGATCTCATAGGGGTAAAAATTCGTAATTGGAAATCTTTTAGGGTGCCGAATTTGACTTTTTTTTCTGAATATTTGCATTTTCTGCAATCTCTTAGGGTGTCGGAAAAGAAAAGAAAGAGCGGATCGATATTGATTTTCTCTGCGTTTTTATCATTGGAACTGATTTAATTTAACAATGTTTGTTGTGCAATCTCTTAGCAGTTAGAAAGCAGTTAGCCACGCCCTTCTTTCAAGACTTTAGGAATCTCAGTTTTAGGGTCTTTTTGAAAATGTCTGACGAGCATCCCCGGTACTTTTACCCTGGAGGTCCCCCCGGGCGTTTAATACCTTTGGGAAATGCGAATGAAGAAGGCGGCGTCTGTGGTCTTGTAGTTACACCTTTAATAAAGATAATCCTCAAAAAAAATCATAAGCTTGCATGCATTAAGTAAGAAAGTAAAGTCACGAGAAATGATTTTATAGAGCATTAGAGATATAGCTACGTCTTCTTAACAAACTTACAGGCCCGAAGGCTGGGTGAGTTCGGTTGACGAACCCCCCACAAACTTAAAAGGTCGGTGTTTCTCTTTTTTTATTGTTCTATTTCAAAATTATTTTGCTATGTATTGTTTTTGTTTTGTTTTAAACTGCCATTCGTAAGACAGCCTACGGGCCTGAACTTACCATTACACTTGTACAGCAAATCAATCTGTTTAACATCTGATGGGCTCAATCCAACTCGCTGGCCAAGTTGTTTTGCATTTGGATCTACTGCAACTATGGTGGCATTTCCATTAGACGTGAAAGCTGTCGCAGAGTAGTGCATGACAGAGAGATAGTCATATGCGACGCCAAGGGAGTCGACTTGAGTACGGTTATACTTTCTAAAGTTATGCTGTCTCGCTGAATACACAAATGGAGCAAATCAGCAGTTCTCTGTACATGAGATAATGAGACGACAAGGCAAAGGTGAAGGCCAAGGGTGAAGACAAAAGTGAAGACTAAGGCGAATGCAAAGGCGACAGCAAAGATGAAGGCGAATGCCATGAAGGCAAGTGTGATGTGAAGGTAAAGGTTAGGGCAAAGGTGAAAAAGCAAAGAGAAAGGTAACTCTGTGCAAGAAGCATATTTTTAAGACCTTCACCGGTAACCGGCCATACAAACACAGCGCAAAGATAAAAGCGAAGACCATGGCGAAGACAAAGGCCATAGCGATGGCGATCGCAAGTAGAAGTGTGAAGGCAAAGTTGAAAGCTTGACAGTTGAAGATGAGTGCGAAGAAATGGTAATTGCTATATGGAATCAATAAAAATTTTGAACAAAATACTGGTAACTTNGGGATGCTCGTCGGATCTCATAGGGGTAAAAATTCGTAATTGGAAATCTTTTAGGGCGCCAAATTTGACTTTTTTTCTGAATATTTGCATTTTCTGCAATCTCTTAGGGTGTCGGAAAAGAAAAGAAAGAGCGAATCGATATTGATTTTCTCTGTGTTTTTATCATTGGAACTCGGATTTAATTTAACAATGTTTGTTGTGCAATCTCTTAGGGGTTAAAAATCAGTTAGCCACGCCCTTCTTTCAAGACTTCAGGGATCTCAGTTTCAGGGTCTTTTTGAAAATGTCTGACGAGCATCCCCGGTACTTTTACCCTGGAGGTCGCCCCGGGCGTTTAATACCTTTGGGAAATGCGAATGGAGATGGCGGCGTCGGTGGTCTTGTAGTTGCACCTTAAAATAAAAATAATCTCCAGAGAAATTATAAGCTCGCTTGCATTAAGTAAAAGTTAAGTCACGAGAAATGATTTTATAGAGCATTACAGATATGGGCAGAGATATGACTACGTCTTCTTAACAATCCTACAGGCCCGTTCGGGGTTTCGGACGAACCGCCCACAAACTTAGGTCCGATGTTTCTCTTTTTTTATTGTTCTTTTTCAAAATTCTTTTGCTATGAACTGTTTTTGAGATAGTAATTTGTGTGAACTGCTCATACTAGCAAACAGTTCTTTTACACTATACTGTGCATTAAACTTTAGATAAAGGCATTTTTAAATGTTTAAACTGTTGGCCAGTAAATTACAGAGAAACCCCTTGCATCTTGGTCTAGATGTTTTGAATTTAGCTGGATGGATTTTAGTATTTTGCAATTTAGTCTCAAAAACCTTTATAAACATTATTAAAATTAAAATGGTAAATTAAAATAAAGGTCCGCATTATGAAGAAACGAACCCCTAACCCTAACCCTAACCCCCAGCCTACGGGCCTGAACTTACCGTTACACTTGTACAGCAAATCAATCTGTTTAACATCTGATGGACTCAATCCAACTCGCTGGCCAAGTTGTTTTGCATTTGGATCTACTGCAACTATGGTGGCATTGCCATTAGATGTGAAAGCTGTCGCAGAGTAGTGCATGACAGACAGATAGTCATATGCGACGCCAAGGGAGTCGACTTGAGTACGGTTATACTTTCTAAAGTTGTGCTGTCTCGCTGAATACACAAATGGAGCAAATCAGCAGTTCTCTGTACATGAGATAATGAAACGACAAGGCAAAGGTGAAGGCTAAGGGTGAAGACAAAAGTGAAGACTAAGGCGAATGCAAAGGCGACAGCAAAGATGAAGGCGAATGCCATGAAGGCAAGTGTGATGCGAAGGTAAAGGTTAGGGCAAAGGTGAAAAAGCAAAGAGAAAGGTAACTCTGTGCAAGCAGCATTTTTAAGACCTTCACCGGTAACCAACCATTATAACAGACACAGCGCAAAGATAAAAGCGAAGACCATGGCGAAGACAAAGGCCGTAGCGATGGCGATCGCAAGTAGAAGTGTGAAGGCAAAGTTGAAAGCTTGACAGTTGAAGATGAGTGCGAAGAAATGGTAATTGCTATATGGAATCAATAAAAATTTTGAACAAAATACTGGTAACTTTAGTATTACTAAAATATGAACAATGATATAAAATAATAGTATAACCAACGTCTATTCTACCTATAGGAATGTTTTCCCACACGATGTTGACATATTGGTCACGGTCTGGACGACTCTGTTCATGCCAAATCCCCATTGCATGAGCTGTGGGTAAGTAAATAAATACCAAGTGTCAGGGCTACATCTGTCTTCAATATGAATGCGGGGTTCCTGTGCACTGCCTACATATCAACTGCATCATGGGAAATTTCATGCCTCATTTTGATATTCTCTCTCAAAATAATCTTGCAAATCATTCATCCGGTTTCGAATTCATAGCGAAAAATCGCTGTTTAATTTGACAACAGATTCTCTTGTGCAAAGACCTGGCCAAACACAAAAGAGAGCACGAGAAAATGTTGTTAGTACAATAGCCTTGAAAATTTGCATTTTCCCTGAGTTGACACTAACCTAGCCTGCGTTACATCCGGTTTAAATAAAACCGGATGTAACGCAGGCTAACACTAACCCTGTATTCCCATAAGACCTAAGGTACGAGCCTTCTGGGAATACAGGGTTAGCCTCAACTCGGGGAAAATGTAAATTGTTAGCGCTATTGTACTAACAATGTTTTTTCTTGCTTTCTTTTGTGTTGTAAGTTCTTTGCGTAAGAGAATCTCCTGTCAAATAAAACAGCGGTTATTCGCTTTGAATTCGAAAATGGAGTATAGAGCTTGAATATGAAGGAATCTGATTACAAATCTGCTAAATCATTACCAGGAATCACAGCATGCATGGATGAGAAAAKACTGAGCGGAGGTCCCAATCAAGCTATGGAGACTGCGATTACGTCACTTACCGATTTCGTGAGCTACAGTTCCAGTACTCCAGCATCCAGACTTGAGAGAAAGCAGCTGTCGACCGCCTACTCGTCCAACATACGACCAACAGCTGAGACAAAAATAGCCCCATTTCAGTATGACCACAAGATCATCACTGAAGATGAAGCTCAGGAACACAATATATAATCCACCAATCGATCAATCCATTAGGTACTGCGCAATATTTATCAGGAGTGGGGAGGGGGTTGAGAATGAGCCAAAAAGACAAAAATGCTCATTACTTCCCCCCTTGCAAACGAAATAAATTACGCTCTGCCCCCTCCCCCTAGTGAATTTATTATTTATTATTCGTGAATAAAGAGTTGTGGTAAAACGTGGCACGATTCTCTTGAGAAGGCTTTTCCACTTCAATAAGTATTTGGCCAAAAAGCACAGAATCTGACACTGATTTTTCAGTTTCCAATAAAGTTCTAGTTAATTTTAGACATTGCCCCCCCTCTTTCATCACATAAAAATAGATTTTGCCCCCTCCCCCCACCCTCAAGAGAAATATTGTGCAGTCCCTTAGCCGAAGTTCTTTGAACTTTACTTTCTGTGTCCCCAGAGCCTCGTTTTGAGTCATTTTGTGTGTGACGCTTAAGCCCGAGAATATCGAAACTCCGTGATTTGAACTTGACTATGACATCAAACATGTTTCCATAGGGCTCAGAATCGCAATAGGAATCTTATAATACATCAGAGATTGTCTGGTCATCTCTGACACTGTTTATTCCAGCGAGGTCGGAAATTAAGCACYTTTACTTTCTTTTATTTCTATATCATGTTTATCATAGTGCCATGCGCGGTCCTCATATTCATGATCTTAGCTATGTAGCTTAGTTTTTTGTTTATTAAATGCACCGTTTTATTGCGTTTTCTTTTGTATTAATTGTTGTCTCCCCCCCCCCCCCCCCGCCCCCTTCCACTTAATCCCTTGTCGTGACCAAAGTCCAGCGTTAAAACTAGAGGATGTCATACGAATTCATCTTACCCAGAACCAATAAACATCTCAATGTAATCTTTTTCGTTAGGCCTGCGAACGAACTTAAGACAAGAGCGTTCTTCCCATTCTTGAATCCCAGCATTGATAGCATTCATTGCTTCGGTTATATTTTCTAAGATCAGAAATAAACAAATATATAAAACAGGAAACTTAGAGTAGATAACAGGGGMGGTGGTGCCAAAATTGACTTGGGAAGGGGAGGGGGGGCACAATCAGAGACTTGCAAATGTATTTTACTATGACAGAAAAATGAATTATTGAATGTTATGGATTATATGGAGTGTGTTTTTTATTAATTGACAAATAAGACAAAGCTGGAACATGTGCAGGGGTTGAGTGAGGACGTTACCAGCTTTTTGCGGGGTTTTCAAGATATAAGAGAGGTTTAGCATGACGTTCACGGCAAACGCCAAACGGCAGAAAAGATCACGTGACCTACTTTTTTTTTGAGTTTAACGTTGCAGTTTCAACGCGAGAGCGGGTTATTTTGAGGTTGCCATAATCGTGAAAAGACGCTCTTTCAAATGACTACCAAAAGCACAAGGTCGAGCACGAAATTCTTAGGTCATTGTTTCAGCTCTGCCGTTAGCCGTTTGCCGTCAACGTGATGCTAAAACTCTCTATAATGGATTGACTGCAAAATTGCTGGAGTACAGTTTTGGATTATCGCCAAACAAATTCTTTGACTATGCGAAAATTGTTACTCTATTGATTTGGCAAATTAAGACACATATTTCAAATAGTGCTTCGTTTGTTTGAAGGAGAGGGGGAGGGGAGGGGAGGGGTGAGAAGGAGGATTTAGCTTACCTAGTTCGCTCGATACAACATATGGAACGKTTCGAGGCCACAGCTTTGTTGGATCGGATGTCAATCCACGAGCTTCACGATGAGGTCTAGTGGGATCTCCATAAAGATCCAACGATACTTGTTGAAGAGGGGTGAGTTTGATGTCACCCTCGAGTAGGCCAATGCCATCGTTCTCTACGAAAGAAAGTCCTCATCATTAACACTATCAGCGAATGGAGAAGGCGGTGGCGAGGGAAACGGAACCGTGTTTTTTTGTGTCATTCGTGTGTGTTCTGTGTTCCTCTCATCCATCTAAGCTTATACTTTGCTTTTCCAAATCGGCCTTTTAAAAAGCCCCGTAACGTAACACCAACGAAAGATCAAAAACCCAAACCTCATCAAATCATTGCTCTTAAAGTGTGTRATTTATCGTTTTACGGCGCGATGCAACTGTTCCGTTAGAAACATCGTCACAGCTCACAATAGTTTTGAAGTTAATTATCTCTTGTCTTTGCTTGAAATTTACTTTTTTAAAGCAAAATATCACTTTTTTACCTTCAAATTCAAGCGCAACACACCCAACAACGAACAACGCAATACCCAGAAAAACCTTCATGTTGAGTTCGTGAATTTCTAAAGCGAAGTGCAACTGTATCAAGCTAGCCGTTGGCTTTCTACTTGTGGACACGCCTTAAGTAGAATGACTGTGGGGGAAAGGGAAAGTCACGGTGGTTGGTGTGCGTAGAGCAAATAGAAATCATTTCAAGAGGACAACAGGCTAAAACTAACTACTACACTGTTTAGAACATTAACTTTAAGTTACTAGTTTATTATGTGTGAACAATACAATAACTCCRKT